CTGACTTCAGTTTTAGCCACTTTGTGTGCTTGGTTCCTCACGACCGACAGCTGGTGGTTCTAACAGGGCAGTAGTCCTGTCCAGAAAGCATGTCGCCCTGACTGGACGCCGCGACTCTGCAAAAGACATTAGAAGAGAACACTCCTAATATTTCCTCTCTAATTAAGACATGAATAATGCAACAAATCAAGGGACAGAGGGTCGTATTTACTAAGGGTCAAAAGATAGAAACTGATTCTCGAATGACGTTTCCCGACTGATAGCTCTGCCGCCATTACTGCTGATGTCCACCGTGTGCTTCACGTTTCGATCACCATAAGGACGATGACTTACACATGAACTAGACTTCTTCTGCGTCTACCGCAATCTCTCCCCGCCCTCACGGTTCTAGGCAGGGTGTCAAAATAAGGTCAAGAATATCAGAGACAAGATCGGACGCAGCGATTGGCAAATGCAAGCAGTCCGTCTACGCGAAATTCACACGTTCTGGTTCCCTGTATAATACAAGGTGGATACTCGGCTCGGATCTCCCCTGTGTAAGAATGCCATACAGGCCATAGAAAAAGCTAAATACTAAGCCTGACAGTCTGTCCAACACTGGCTACTCCACACAGAAGGCTGATTGTAACTTTGGAGTTGCACCGCCAGTTGACAGTCTTTCAGCGCATAACGTTTACTACGTCTTACTAGATCCGATTTCGTAAAATTGATTATACTGAGGAATAAATTCCCGAGAATCGACACCGCTTTCTCTTGTCTCTCTCCAGTATAAGTCAGTTGTAGAAGCCAGGGTACCAACCGACGTTGAGGGCGGACGTAGTAGCTGACGGAGCTAAAGAGGTCTGCCTACACAGGCAACGCATGATCTGGTCCTCACACAAGGGGATGAACCGCTCGAATCTAACCTCCAGTTGTTGTTGTTGTTGTTGTTGTTGTTGTTGTACTAGCTTACTCCCTTAACCTAGTTTGCCAGCAATGCATGTTATAAAATTTTTAAGAAAGATGAAGGGGTAGAGATGAAGGAATAAAGAATAAAGAGAAAAGTCTAAATGTTTAAGGGAGATGAAGGAATTCGGCGACTTTGTCTGGGCGAAGCCATAGGTCCTCAGGCG